TGGTTGTGCGGCTGTTGTGTGGTTTTTGTGTAGTTGTGCGGTTGTTGTGTGGTTGCTGTGTGGTTGTGCAGTTGTTGTGTGGTTGTTGTGTGATTGTTGTGTGGTTGCTGTGTGGTTGTTGTGCGATTGTTGTGTGGTTGCTGTGTGGTTGTTGTGCGATTGTTGTGCATTTGTTGTGCGGTTGTTGTGTGGTTGTTGTGTAGTTGTGCGGTTGTTGTGTGATTGTTGTGTGGTGGTTGTGCGATTGTTGTTGTGTGATTGTTGTGTGGTGGTTGTGTGGTAGTTGTGCGATTGTTGTGCAGTTGTTGTGCGATTGTTGTGCAGTTGCTGTTGTGTGGTTGTTGTGTGGTTTGTTGTGATGAGGAATTATGCAAAGTATTCAGATTCTTCCGAACACAAATTGAACGTAAAACCTCAGCTGCAGGAGGTCGATCGACGAGGACGGAGAGTGACGGACAGAAAGGTCACGGACACACACTGATGGACAGATGTGTGCACAACCGGACACTACAGACACATACACAGAGAGAGACACACACACACACAGAGAGACACACACACAGATACACACACGCACAGAGAGAGACACACACACAGAGACACACACACACACAGAGACACACAGGCACAGAGAGAGAGAGAGAGACACAGCCACACACACACATACACACGCAGACACACACAGAAACACACACACACTACAGCCTGAGCGTTTACCCCCCACTGGGCACAGATCAGGAGCTAAAGCAGCAAAAACACACCGTTAGCACTGCCCCTCACTCCACAGTTTAGTGGGTACACAATCAGGAAATAGACACACAACCCAGCCACAAACCATTCACAAACACACACACACTTTCAAATGCGTCTCACAAACTGCACAATGACCAGAGGAGGTAATGTATAGATCCTCACACGCAAGAATGTAAACATGGATTAACCCAAAGTCGTGGAGCAGATTACGGGAAAATGATAAATGATCGAGACAAAGATCAGCCCGAGGTTAGAGCAAATATTGACAAATTTTACGAACTGGTCGCACACAAACGCACACACAAAGAACACACTGAAATGTCTAATAATCAGAGGAAAGGCTCAATCCATTCCAGATTAAGATTAAGATTGTGTATTGGTCCCAGTGAGGAAATGCCAGTGTTGCATGTAAGTGAGTAAGTTCAGAACGACTACTTTAGAACAATAAAAATAAAACAAATGTTATGTTTTGATTAGTTATAACGACACACACATATATATATATATTTGTATGTATCTATGGAGACATCTGTCGTCTCTAAGGGCAAGAATATTGGCCTCAATCTCAATATTATCAAATCTATTCTTTCAAAAGTGAAATGGAATAATGATAATGTGAACCAACATGACTCTAGGCCTATAAAAACTTCAAAAACACAATACTAACATGTTAGAAGTACACGCTCTACTGAGGACCATTGCTTTGATGTAGAATTATAATAATAATAACTCATTGACTGCAGCCGTTTTTACTGATTTCACTGATTCTCAAGACCCACAGAATATTATTTTTTAAGACTACGTGAAAAATGAAAGCAGATTCTGAAGGACTGGATTGTCTACTTTAATCGGCAAAAATAAGTTTGTTTCTAGCTATTTTTTTTGTCCTGAAATCCATAGTCGAAAAGAGGCTCCCAGAAAAATACCTCATGGCAGTCAATAATAATGACAGTTCAAATCCAGACCCAAAACTGACCTTTCAGACTGGTTAAAAACACAGAGAAATTAAAAACATTAGCATAATTAAAAACCGAAAACTACAGAACTGGATGGGTCATGTGACGGGTCATGTGACGGGTCATGTGACGGGTCATGTCAAGAAAATCTAAAAAGGTGAGTTTTGGGTCTGAATTTGACCCTAGAGGGGAAGAGTCAGTATGATCCTTATTATTATCATTATTATTAAAACGCATATTATCGTTGGTTGGAAGAGGCCCGTGTCCAGTGCGTGACGTGGGGGTGGTAGAGGAGGAGCGCAATTTGTTTTGGATTGTCCACTTTACATTTTACTTGAAAGAGTAAATGCTTCTAATCCAGAGGTCTGTGTTTTTCATGTATGTGTGTGTCTTTCATGTATGTGTGTGTCTTTCATGTATGTGTGTGTTTTTCATGTCTGTGTGTGTTTTTCATGTCTGTGTATATTTTTCATGTATGTGTGTGTCTTTCATGTATGCGTGTGTCTTTCATGTATGCGTGTGTCTTTCATGTATGTGTGTGTCTTTCATGTATGTGTGTGTTTTTCATGTCTGTGTGTGTTTTTTTATGTGTGTGTCTGTCATGTATGTGTGTGTCTTTCATGTCTGTGTGTGTTTTTTATGTATATGTGTGTCTTTCATGTATGTGTGTGTCTTTCATGTGTGTGTGTGTCTTTCATGTGTGTGTGTGTTTTTCATGTATGTGTGTGTCTTTCATGTATGTGTGTGTCTTTCATGTATGTGTGTGTTTTTAATGCATGTGTGTGTTTTTAATGCATGTGTGTGTTTTTCATGTATGTGTGTGTCTTTCATGTCTGTGTGTGTGTGTGTTTTTCATGTGTGTATAAAGTGTGTAGCATCAGATGTTGTTCAGTGTCATATGAGCCACGTGCATGACATTAAAATATCATAAACTCAAACAACTCATCGGTTCATTTCAATGTATTTTTGTGTAGACCTAAATCCCAACAGCATGAGGACGCAACAAAGTTTTCAATTCACCAACAACAGATCAGAAAATCAAACAGCTCGAACACATAGGAGCCAATGGGAATGACCACTGTCCGAATATAGATATAAAAAAGGCATAAATGTCCTTAAATGTCCTTAGATGTCCTTAAATGTCCTTAAATGTCCTTAAATGTCCTTAGATGTCCTGGACCAACACTGACCTCAGACCCTCCTGCATCAGCAACATCAAAACAGAACCCAAAAGGGAAAAAGGTGAGAAACCTTGGGGGCGACTGAGAGAGAGACCTGCTCCACGGACCTACAGGCGGTGGAACCAGGACTCCACACTGCAACACACTCGCAACACAACAGCACACAACTTGTTCTATATAGTTTCAACACCAACTCCAGCAGCTCCATGTGCTGTAACTCCATTCAGACCAACTCAACCCTGCGGCTGCCGTGCGCTTTCCCCAAACAGGACGCACCATCCTCAGTCAGATACAGCAGGAGCAGAAACTAAAAAACTACTGTCACGTTTGGATCTTTGCGTCTGGAGAAGAAACACTACGATAATATTATTGATAAAGTATTTGGACACAACACTGCGGTGACATTTGGGGATTCTCTGTGCTCTTTGGCAAACCCTGAATGGAAGCAGCGTGATGCCTCCGCGGAGAGCTCCAAAAGACTAAACTCATTTCTGAATCCGACTTGAAACAAAACTCAGATAAAGGTGAAATAAGCAGCTTTGAACTCACCAGTCCCGGAGCGCCCCGACTCTGCTCTCAAGCGCAGACCTAAACTTCAGCTCCTCTCCTTCGCTCCCGAATAATTGCTGTTTGCAGGCGGAGAACGCGCAGTGGTTCTGGGGCAGACGCAGTGGTTTTGGGGAGCCTGGTCTGGTCCGGTCTGGTCTTGTCTTGTCCTCCTCTAGAGAAAAGCAGCCGCGCGTTCAAAGTGTGGCCCGTGCGTAAATGTTTTGGCTCCGAGGGCAGTTCCGACACTTCTGTTGGATTCCCGGTGGCTGTGGCTCTCCTCCCGTCAGAGCGCTTCTCTCTGTGGCTCTCACCTCCCACTTAAAGGGAGAGAGCGGAGTTCCAGGTTGAGCCGATGGGAACGCGGCGCAGAAACCGTCAGTGCGTGCGCGCGTTTTCGCAGCTGCAAAACTTGGCGTAAAAGTCCGTTTGTGATTCTGTTTTTAAAGAAGATATGAATCAGAAGTAAGATTATGACGCAATGTGTTGCTTATGATTCTCTAAACTCGTCTAAACAGTCGTCAGGAGGAACGGACGTCACTTAAAGTCATGTAAACTCCTCATTATTGTTAAATGTGATTCACTTGAAAGTTCATTTAAAAACGTCCAATGCCACAGACTCTGGATCATCATCAAATACAGCTCAGAAGTCACAGTGGATTATCTGAAGGTTCAGCAAACTCAGAATGGAAGAGCAAAGAGACGTCATGCTGCCACTGACTCCCCCCTCTACGCTGACTCCTCCCCCTACGCTGACACCTCCCCCTACACTGACTCCTCCCCCTACACACCTGCACTGAGGCCACAGCTGGTCAGTAACACACCTGAGCTCATCATGGTCTCTGCAGCTCAAGCTTCTGTTCGAGCAGCAACCCACCTCCTCCCCATCACCGCCTCTTCAGTTCAGAGTCTTTGCCACCAGGGTCTAGGCTCCCGGGGGTCGCAAACTCTAGTTTCTATGAAACAATAGTCTCAATCTAAGTCTGCTGGTGTTTATTCATGCACCCCGACAACAAAATATTCTAATATAGTCTTCGTCTCAAGTCTCTCCAGATTGAACTGGTTTTAGGTCCATGCCCTTTCTGCAGTCTGTGCCAACGCCTGATCTCTTCGGATGCAAAAGAATAAGTAAGCTTAACCCTGGCAGTATGAGGATGGGAGACCGCTGGGAAGATCCAGTGCCAGAGAGGCCCTCTGTATCTGTGGTGTGTGGTCAGTGGTGATCATGCCTCATGTGCCTTTGCTTCTGTTAGTCTGCCCCAAGGCAGCTGTGGCTACATCACTGTAGCTTACCCCACTGTGAGTGAGTGATGAATGATTTAGATCAGCCACAGAGACCATTCCAGTGTTGCTCTTGACTCCTATACTTTTATATTAGTTATTTTTAAGGTTAATTTCAGACAGATGGAGCCATAGACATGAAAAAGACAAGAACGAAAACAAAGAAAGACGTCGGTGAGTTAATGTCACTGTTTTGAATGAATGGATGTTAAAGGTTAAATACGACAAATGCCTCAAAAGCCGTTCAAGGCAAACGGTGGTGACAGACATTTAGAACACGACCTCACATGAAGAGAGCAGAGAGGAGAGACTGAGGAGGAGGAGAGAGGAGAGACTGAGGAGGAGGAGAGAGGAGAGACTGAGGAGGAGGAGAGAGGAGAGACTGAGGAGGAGGAGAGAGGAGAGACTGAGGAGCAGAGAGGAGAGACTGAGGAGGAGAGAGGAGAGACTGAGGAGGAGGAGAGACTGAGGAGCAGAGAGGAGAGACTGAGGAGGAAAGAGGAGAGACTGAGGAGGAGGAGAGAGGAGAGACTGAGGAGGAGGAGAGAGGAGAGACTGAGGAGCAGAGAGGAGAGACTGAGGAGCAGAGAGGAGAGACTGAGGAGGAGAGAGGAGAGACTGAGGAGCAGAGAGGAGAGACTGAGGAGGAAAGAGGAGAGACTGAGGAGGAGGAGAGAGGAGAGACTGAGGAGGAGGAGAGAGGAGAGACTGAGGAGGAGGAGAGAGGAGAGACTGAGGAGCAGAGAGGAGAGACTGAGGAGCAGAGAGGAGAGACTGAGGAGGAGAGAGGAGAGACTGAGGAGGAGGAGAGAGGAGAGACTGAGGAGCAGAGAGGAGAGACTGAGGAGGAAAGAGGAGAGACTGAGGAGGAGGAGAGAGGAGAGACTGAGGAGGAGGAGAGAGGAGAGACTGAGGAGCAGAGAGGAGAGACTGAGGAGCAGAGAGGAGAGACTGAGGAGGAGAGAGGAGAGACTGAGGAGGAGGAGAGAGGAGAGACTGAGGAGCAGAGAGGAGAGACTGAGGAGGAAAGAGGAGAGACTGAGGAGGAGGAGAGAGGAGAGACTGAGGAGCAGAGAGGAGAGACTGAGGAGGAGGAGAGACTGAGGAGGAGAGAGGAGAGACTGAGGAGGAGGAGAGACTGAGGAGGAGAGAGGAGAGACTGAGGAGCAGAGAGGAGAGACTGAGGAGGAAAGAGGAGAGACTGAGGAGGAGGAGAGAGGAGAGACTGAGGAGCAGAGAGGAGAGACTGAGGAGGAGGAGAGACTGAGGAGGAGGAGAGAGGAGAGACTGAGGAGGAGGAGAGACTGAGGAAGAGGAGAGACTGAGGAGGAGGAGAGACTGAGGAGAGAAGAGCTGAGGTCATGGAGGAGTAGAGAGGGGAGACTGAGAAAGAAGAGATGAGAGACAGAAGGAGGAGGAAGTAGCAGGAAGAGGAGTAGAGATGAGAGATACAAGAGGAGCAGAGAAAAGAGACTGAGGAGGAGAGAAGAGAGAGAGATGAGAGATATAGGAGGAGGAGAGAGGAGGGACTGAGGAAGAAGATAGGTGATAGATAGGAGAGGAGCAGAGAGCAGGAGGACACCGGAGGAGCAGAGAGCAGGAGGACACCGGAGGAGCAGAGAGCAGGAGGACACGGGAGGAGCAGAGAGCAGGAGGACACCGGAGGAGCAGAGAGCAGGAGGACACGGGAGGAGCAGAGAGCAGGAGGACACCGGAGGAGCAGAGAGCAGGAGGACACCGGAGGAGCAGAGAGCAGGAGGACACCGGAGGAGCAGAGAGCAGGAGGACACCGGAGGAGCAGAGAGCAGGAAAACACCAGAGGAGCAGGGAGCAGGAGGACACCGGAGGAGCAGAGAGCAGGAGGACACCGGAGGAGCAGGGAGCAGGAGGACACCGGAGGAGCAGAGAGCAGGAGGACACCGGAGGAGCAGAGAGCAGGAGGACACGGGAGGAGCAGAGAGCAGGAGGACACCGGAGGAGCAGAGAGCAGGAGGACACCGGAGGAGCAGAGAGCAGGAGGACACCGGAGGAGCAGAGAGCAGGAGGACACCGGAGGAGCAGAGAGCAGGAGGACACCGGAGGAGCAGAGGAGCAGGAGGACACCGGAGGAGCAGAGAGCAGGAGGACACCGGAGGAGCAGAGAGCAGGAGGACACCGGAGGAGCAGAGAGCAGGAGGACACCGGAGGAGCAGATAGCAGGAGGACACCGGAGGAGCAGAGGAGCAGGAGGACACCGGAGGAGCAGAGAGCAGGAGGACACCGGAGGAGCATGGAGCAGGAAAACACCGGAGGAGCAGAGGAGCAGGAGGACACCGGAGGAGCAGAGAGCAGGAGGACACCGGAGGAGCAGAGAGCAGGAGGACACCGGAGGAGCATGGAGCAGGAAAACACCGGAGGAGCAGAGAGCAGGAAAACACCGGAGGAGCAGAGAGCAGGAAAACACCAGAGGAGCAGAGAGCAGGAGGACACCGGAGGAGCAGGGAGCAGGAGGACACCGGAGGAGCAGAGAGCAGGAGGACACCGGAGGAGCAGAGAGCAGGAGGACACGGGAGGAGCAGAGAGCAGGAGGCACGGGAGGAGCAGAGAGCAGGAGGACACCGGAGGAGCAGAGAGCAGGAGGACACGGGAGGAGCAGAGAGCAGGAGGACACCGGAGGAGCAGAGAGCAGGAGGACACCGGAGGAGCAGAGAGCAGGAGGACACCGGAGGAGCAGAGAGCAGGAGGACACCGGAGGAGCAGAGAGCAGGAGGACACCGGAGGAGCAGAGGAGCAGGAGGACACCGGAGGAGCAGAGAGCAGGAGGACACCGGAGGAGCATGGAGCAGGAAACACCGGAGGAGCAGAGAACAGGAGGACACCGGAGGAGCAGAGAGCAGGAGGACACCGGAGGAGCAGATGAGCAGGAGGACACTGGAGGAGCAGAGAGCAGGAGGACACCGGAGGAGCAGAGAGCAGGAGGACACCGGAGGAGCAGAGAGCAGGAGGACACCGGAGGAGCAGAGAGCAGGAGAACACCGGAGGAGCAGAGGAGCAGGAGGACACCGGAGGAGCAGAGAGCAGGAGGACACCGGAGGAGCAGAGAGCAGGAGGACACCAGAGGAGCAGAGAGCAGGAGGACACCGGAGGAGCAGAGAGCAGGAGGACACCGGAGGAGCAGAGAGCAGGAGGACACCGGAGGAGCATGGAGCAGGAAAACACCGGAGGAGCAGAGAGCAGGAAAACACCGGAGGAGCAGAGAGCAGGAAAACACCAGAGGAGCAGAGAGCAGGAGGACACCGGAGGAGCAGGGAGCAGGAGGACACCGGAGGAGCAGAGAGCAGGAGGACACCGGAGGAGCAGAGAGCAGGAGGACACGGGAGGAGCAGAGAGCAGGAGGACACGGGAGGAGCAGAGAGCAGGAGGACACCGGAGGAGCAGAGAGCAGGAGGACACGGGAGGAGCAGAGAGCAGGAGGACACCGGAGGAGCAGAGAGCAGGAGGACACCGGAGGAGCAGAAAGCAGGAGGACACCGGAGGAGCAGAGAGCAGGAGGACACCGGAGGAGCAGAGAGCAGGAGGACACCGGAGGAGCAGAGGAGCAGGAGGACACCGGAGGAGCAGAGAGCAGGAGGACACCGGAGGAGCATGGAGCAGGAAAACACCGGAGGAGCAGAGAACAGGAGGACACCGGAGGAGCAGAGAGCAGGAGGACACCGGAGGAGCAGAGGAGCAGGAGGACACCGGAGGAGCAGAGAGCAGGAGGACACCGGAGGAGCAGAGAGCAGGAGGACACGGGAGGAGCAGAGAGCAGGAGGACACCGGAGGAGCAGAGAGCAGGAGAACACCGGAGGAGCAGAGGAGCAGGAGGACACCGGAGGAGCAGAGAGCAGGAGGACACCGGAGGAGCAGAGAGCAGGAGGACACCGGAGGAGCAGAGAGCAGGAGGACACCGGAGGAGCAGAGAGCAGGAGGACACCGGAGGAGCAGAGAGCAGGAGGACACCGGAGGAGCAGGGAGCAGGAGGACACCAGAGGAGCAGAGAACAGGAGGACACCGGAGGAGCAGACCAGAGGGAGACCTGGCTCGGAGTCGGAGGCTGATGTGCCGTTTCTAATCCTCCTGTTGGTGGCTTTGTGCCGGGGCTCAGCAGGAAGTGGGAGCTGGGCAGACAACAATTAACAAAAGAACTGTGAAGAATACAATTAACCATCAATGGCCGACCGTGGGCCTTTGTGCCGTCGCCATGGAGACGGCACAACACCACTATAGCCAGATTACACACAAAAAAACCCTCTCCTTCTCCCGTTTCTCCCCAGTGCTGCCCTTTGATTCCCGTCCCTTTGACACCGTGGACCCTCGCGCTGGACTTTGCCGCCGTGTGTCATAGAGACTGACGTGTGTATTTGGGTTTAGATTAAGATTTAAGATTAAGATTATGTTTTATCGCAGGTACAGAGCAGTGGGAATGAGGAGAACACAGCACCAAGATAACTGGATAATGAGGCTATGCTAAAAGAAAAGGAAAATCTCAAACTTTAGCAAAATAACGAAGCAAAAATCTCTACTTTAGAAATAGTTTAAAATATCTACTTGTTTTTTGACCTGCTTCGTTATTTTGCTAATGTTAGAGGTCGTTTACTAGCTTCTTTGCTGTGCTGAAGTTAAACAATCTCCAGCTTTAGCAAAAAAAAAGAAGTAAGTATAAAATCACTAGCTTTAGCATATTAAAGAAGTAAGTAGCCACAGCTGCCCTGGGGCACACTGACAGACGAGAGGCAACCAGTCTGTGCCATCGGCCCCTCAGCTTTGGGATGTCAGTATGTTTTTTAGAACATCAGACCTGTTTTCTTTTATTTGAATTTTAAAGCTACTTCAGTTAAACATTACATTATGAATTGATTTGATGAACAAAAGCAAAACTATTCAGGTGTTTGGAGCAAATTATTATTGTTACTGAAAGTGGCTTTTGATATTATTTGTCTGCTGAGAAGGGTCCGTTTGTATTATTTAAGAAAAATACTCTGACAGACAGACAGACAGACAGACAGACAGACAGACAGACAGACACTTAATGGATTCCCGTAGGAGAAATTCAGGTAGCAGCAAAAATAAAAAATAAAATGTATCATTCTAAAAACATAATAATAGTAATAATCAGCAACAGCCCTTCAGGTCACATTAGCAGAGGTGAAGTAGCCTCTGGGTGGAGCAGGACGGGTCACAGCAGCAGAGGTGGAGTAGCCTCTGGGTGGAGCAGGACGGGTCACAGCAGCAGAGGTGGAGTAGCCTCTGGGTGGAGCAGGACGGGTCACAGCAGCAGAGGTGGAGTAGCCTCTGGGTGGAGCAGGACGGGTCACAGCAGCAGAGGTGGAGTAGCCTCTGGGTGGAGCGGGACGGGTCACAGCAGCAGAGGTGGAGCAGCCTCTGGGTGGAGCAGGACGGGTCACAGCAGCAGAGGTGGAGTAGCCTCTGGGTGGAGCAGGACGGGTCACAGCAGCAGAGGTGGAGTAGCCTCTGGGTGGAGCAGGACGGGTCACAGCAGCAGAGGTGGAGTAGCCTCTGGGTGGAGCAGGACGGGTCACAGCAGCAGAGGTGGAGTAGCCTCTGGGTGGAGCAGGACGGGTCTTATATCTGTCAGGATCTGACCTGTTTTACATATTTTTAGTGACAGGGCAAACCAGAGCACCTGGAGGAAACTTGTGCAGACACAGAGAGAACATGCAAACTCCAGAGAGGCCCTGTTCTGGCCCTTCACTGCATTAACTTTACAGGCCGAGATGGAGTTGGGCACTGACCGGAAAGATAGACAGACAGACACACAGACGGACAGACAGAGACAGACAGACAGACAAACAGGCTAGATACACTCAAAGAAATGATTCAGGTGGTTAGTATTTTGAACTCAAAATACATACTAAACTAAACTCAATAATAGATTTTTGCCAGTTTTACTTAAATTAGTGTGGTCGCAACTCATTTTAAACATGTCGGTCTCAATTAAAAGTTAATACAAGAATCCTAACTCATTTTTGTAACAAATTTGAACTTGATATTCTGGCATAACTGGACAACGGAGAAGTATTGAGTTTGCTCAACATGAAAATCCTCTTGTAAGCCTGGTGGCCCATTAATGAAAAAACAAATATATTGAGTTGATTCAAAATAAATATATTGAGTTGATTCAAAATAAATATATTGTGTTGATTGAAAACAAAATGTGGCGAAGCAGTGACGCTACCCAGAATGCATTGCAGCGAAAAATATAAACTTCTTAAAAATTCTACATTTGAGCATTAATTTTAAAACTGAATATGAAGCAAGTCCTAAAGCAAAATACTTGAGCAACATTCTGAATAAACTAATTTGACCAAATAAGTAATTGTATTTATTTTTATCAACCATGATCGAGAGGGCCAAGCCAAAGCAGTCCTATACTCCCTGTGTCACCCTTCAATTTTGAACAGATACTTTAAGGTGGACATGTTTACCAGTGACTGTGCTGGTCCACTCTCATATATATGTGGAGTGAGAGACTACTGCCTGAAATTAACAATTGTGAACCGTTTTGTGAATCTAATCTTTGAAAGATGGTATTTGAATAAAGATTACATATTCCTGACTGAAAACCACTTGTTGAATATACTCAAAAAGATTTATTTTCAATGTAATTATTTAAGTTGGTGGTATTGTTAAAATTAAGTTGAACTGATGCTAAAACACTTGCTGAATATACTTTACAAAGTGTCTTTATAACTCAATTATCCAAGTTGGTGGTATTGAAAAAATTGTGCTGGACCAATGATAAAAGACTTACAAAGAATACTTAAAACACAGTCTTGTTCGCAAAACTTAAAAAGATGCATGCAAAATGCTGCCTCAATTTTATTAAGTTTTGCCAATGCATTTTTTTTTAGAGTGTAGATAGACGGACAGACGGACAGTTTATGGATCCTGTAGGACAAATACAGGTGTGAAGCAGCAGAAACTCACCCATTCACACAAACATAAATACATTCTTAAAGCCCACAGACGACAGATCTGTTTTACGAAGCCTCCACAATCCAGCACTAAAGTCCTCCAGCTCATTATTGGACTGTTGTCTCGCTACACCACAACCTCTCAAACCAAGGTGTGTTTTCATCCAGATGTCAATGCCATCGCCTCCTCATACAAACCTCCCCACAATGCACTGCAACAATAGTGTGTGTGTGTCATCGTGGCGGCAGATGCACTGTTGTGGTGTGAGCGAGGTGTGGCAGAGTCAGTGCTTTCTGGGCCAGGGCTCCACACCGGGCTCCACACCGGGCTCCACACCGGGCTCCACACCGGGCTCCACACCGGGCTCCACACCGGGCTCCACACCGGGCTCCACACCGGGCTCCACACCGGGCTCCACACCGGGCTCCACACCGAGCTCCACACCGGGCTCCACACTGGGCTCCACACCGGGCTCCACACCGGGCTCCACACCGGGCTCCACACTGAGCTCCACACTGAGCTCCACACTGAGCTCCACATCCACACCGGGCTCCACACCGGGCTCCACACCGGGCTCCACACCGGGCTCCACACCGGGCTCCACACCGGGCTCCACACCGGGCTCCGCACCGGGCTCCGCACTGGGCTCCGCACCGGGCTCCACACCGGGCTCCACACCGGGCTCCACACCGGGCTCCGCACTGGGCTCCGCACCGGGCTCCACACCGGGCTCCACACCGGGCTCCACACCGGGCTCCACACTGGGCTCCACACTGGGCTCCACACTGAGCTCCAACATCCACACCGGGCTCCACACCGGGCTCCACACCGGGCTCCACACCGGGCTCCACACCGGGCTCCACACTGGGCTCCACACTGGGCTCCACACCGCGCACTGAGCTCCGCACTGGGCTCCACACCGGGCTCCGCACCGGGCTCCACACCGGGCTCCACACCGGGCTCCACACCGGGCTCCACACCGGGCTCCACACCGGGCTCCACACCGGGCTCCACACCGGGCTCCACACCGGGCTCCACACGGCCCAGGTGAGGTCCTCTCCACCGCCGCACTCCACCCTCAAATATTAATTGCGGCGTCATCTCCGTCATTGTTGTGTTTGAGCCGCCTCCAAATGAGCAGGTGCGAACAGACGCGCTGAAAAGACTTCTCTCTCTCTCCATTGTTGGACTCCACAGAGACGTTTTATTTGTCTTTTTGTACTACAGTAGCTTCTTTTTTCCCCGTGTGATTATGTGATTTTGTTAATGGGACCAATGGCTTTGTTGTGTGTGTCACCTTTTCACGGCCGTGCATTACTGTCTCCAACAGAGCTCCGCCACAAAGGAGTGAAACTGCTGAATGACTGCGTTCAGCTGCCAGCGCCGGCATTACAGCTGATTATTATGATCACATACAGGGCTGGAGTCCATCTGCTGCTGCTGCTGCTGCTGCTGCTGCTGCTACTACTGTGCTACTGCTACTACTGTGCTACTGATGCTGCTACTGCTGCTACTGCTGCTACTGCTGCTACTGCTGCTACTGCTGCTACTGCTGCTACTGCTGCTGCTGCTGCTGCTACTGCTACTGCTGCTGCTGCTGCTGCTACTGCTGCTACTGCTGCTACTGCTGCTACTGCTGCTGCTGCTGCTGCTGCTGATGCTGCTACTGCTGCTACTGCTGCTGCTGATGCTGCTACTGCTGCTACTGCTGCTGCTGATGCTGCTACTGCTACTGCTGCTGCTACTACTGTGCTACTGCTACTGCTACTGCTTCTGCTGCTACTGCTACTGCTACTGCTGCTGCTACTACTGTGCTACTGCTACTACTGCTACTGCTTCTGCTGCTGCTGATGCTGCTACTGCTACTGCTACTACTGTGCTACTGCTACTGCTACTGATGCTGCTACTGCTACTGCTACTGCTGCTGCTACTACTGTGCTACTGCTACTGCTTCTGCTGCTGCTGATGCTGCTACTGCTACTGCTACTGCTGCTGCTACTACTGTGCTACTGCTACTGCTACTGCTTCTGCTGCTGCTACTGCTACTGCTACTACTGTGCTACTGCTACTGCTACTGCTTCTGCTGCTGCTGCTGCTGCTACTGCTACTGCTACTACTGTGCTACTGCTACTGCTACTGCTTCTGCTGCTGCTGCTGCTGATGCTGCTACTGCTACTGCTACTGCTGCTGCTACTACTGTGCTACTGCTGCTGCTATTGCTACTGCTACTACTGTGCTACTGCTACTGCTACTGCTACTGCTTCTGCTGCTGCTGCTGCTGCTGCTTCCACCCTCCTACTGTTCTGTGATCAGTCTGAAGTGGCCGTGTCATGAGAGTCTGCCGGCGATAAACCTTCTCTGCTCTTGAAATTCTGAAGTAAGACAAAGAGAGACACAAAGAGAGAAAAACAAAATAATTTCTCGTTCGTCGTCACTGAGACAGAAATCTCGGTTAAAGAGCACTTGAGAGTTCAGACTTTCCACAAAACACAGTAGAGATTATTTTATGTAAGTTTCAAAATGTGGGTCAGAGAACAGAGTTAGAATTAGATTTCAATGTATTCAGTGTATTCTTGTATAACCCTAAATCACAGCAGCAGTGATCCCAGAGGACTTTACACTAATGTTGAATTCGCCAACAACAGATTAGAGAATCAAACCGTTTAAACACAAGAAATGCGAAGATACAAAACACAGCCGTTGGTTCATGAGGAGCAGAGACCAAAGTCCATCTGTGACAAACCTCTCTTTCTAAAGGAAATGTTAAAAGTTCTTATAATGTTTGTGGGCGTGGTCAGTTTGACAGATCTAACAGCTGCATCAGGCATTCATTCAAAGGTCAGCTAAAAACTTATTTATTTGAGCAAGCTTTTACATAATTTTCTTGCGGCCGTTTCAAACCTGTCACTGAGTTGTCTTGGCCAATATGTTTTTGTTTTTTTTACGCACATTTTAAATTGTATTTTGTCTGTTTTATCTGTGAAGCGCTTTGTGGCCTTGGTCTGTGAAAGGCGCTGTATAAATAAAGCTTACTTACTTACAGACTGACCACGCCCCCTGTACTCTCTGGAGAAGTGAGTCCCAAGTGTGAGGCGAGGTGAAGGGCCCCTCGTCTCTGTTCATGGTCCGTGTGACCCACTTCCTGATTCCAGTCGCCTCTCGTCTCCATCTTTTGTATTTCTGTTGTTCTTTTCCAGTCTATCTTATGACTTTCTCTTTTCTTCCTTCAAAAACATGTCCCTCACGCTGACACATGTCATGAAGCAGCACTAGTTTTTCTCTCTCTTTGTTTAGTTAAAATAATCGTATAAGCCTTAAACATAAAGAAGACACACATTTAAAACCATTTCTCAAACCATTCGTTGCTACTGACACAGATATCGCAGTTAGAGTTTGTTTGACCGTTTAGACTTTTCTCAAAACACATTCAAGACAACAGAAGTTTGGAACATAAGTTTAATAAAATTCCAAGTTGGTCTCTGCCCCTTTTGGACCCATGGCTCTATGTGTTTTTATCATTACCTTTCCTGCGTTTGAACTGTTGTGATTCTCTGATCTGTGTTTTGGAGAATCAAAGGCTTTGTGAAGTCCTGGTATCGGGTGATACAAAAATACATTGCGTTGAACTGAGTAAATGAAGAGAAAGAGGAGCAGCGGAAGTCTGTTTCTTTGGTGATTCACTGCAGACTTCTGGATTCTGGATGAGATCGAATTCTTATTTTTACCATTTCTGCTCAAAATCATGTGTTCAAGTGAATAAACATTCACTGTAAAACAACTGTAAAAAGAAAGACATTGTGAAAAGGGCTCGGACACTTTTATACTTGTTTTCAAACTATCTTTTGTTGATATATTTTAACTTTTTTACTGTAATGCACAGTGAGTAACTTTAACATTTGACGGCTTTTAGTTTTGTAAGAATGTTGTTATAATTGTGACGGAGCTCCTCACGATCCCCGGTCCATGCACAGGTTTTAACACACGGCTGTAGAAAGAAAAATAAAACAATAGAAATGTTAGAAAATTACGTAATAAATGCTTGAATCAAGTGAAACCAGATTCTCCAAAAGGACAAAGTCTTTTTTCAAGAACTGTTTCTTTATTTTCTCATTCCAAGAGAGACATTTCTGTGTCTTTTTAAAACAAGATCATTTTGTTTTGTCCTGTTGGGAAATCTTGTTTTAAGTCAGAACATGTTTGATTAAGATAAAAACCACTTGATTCAAGCCTTTATTAACTCATATTTTATATTTTTTTGCAGTGCACACACCTCCTCCAGCTCATCTGGGGGAATCCCGAGGTGTTCCCAGGGCCGGCTCTGTGTCCCGGGTCTTCCCTGAGGTCTCCTCCCAGATGAGCTGAATGTGTAGCAATATATAAGATTTTCATTTCAAGTCCTCATTAAAGGGCTCTAATCTGTACTCATTAAAGGGCCCTAATCTGTCATCATTAAAGGGCCCTAATCTGTCATCGTTAAAGGGCCCTAATCTGTCATCATTAAAGGGCCCTAATCTGTCATCATTAAAGGGCCCTAATCTGTCATCGTTAAAGGGCCCTAATCTGTCATCATTAAAGGGCCCTAATCTGTCATCATTAAAGGGCCCTAATCTGTCATTGTTAAAGGGCCCTAATCTGTCATTATTAAAGGGCCCTAATCTGTCATCATTAAAGGGCCCTAATCTGTCATCGTTAAAGGGCCCTAATCTGTCATCATTAAAGGGACCTAATCTGTCATCGTTAAAGGGCCCTAATCTGTCATCATTAAAGGGCCCTAATCTGTCATCATTAAAGCGCCCTAATCCGTCAAAAGTCATTAATTAAAAATGCTCTTTTCTAATCCTTCATTAACTGATAACAGTAGTTCAGAGATATTTGAATTTCTAAATTACTTTTCCAGTCTCTAAATCTTGTTATTGTTTTCATTTCGATGTCCCGCCCTCCACCGTTTCACCAATCAGAAAGTCTGTGATCCGGGCGCCAGAACTCACCGCGTGGAGCTAATCTCACTGGTAAAGTACCATGTGGCGCAGAACTAAAAAAGGTCTCGTCATGATTCTCAAATCATTAACGACAAAACAAGGAATAAAACCAGGATTTCTATCTTTGTGAAAAAGGTGTTGGTTATAGATTTGTTGTTGACAAAACTCTTGTCTATTCAGCTGTTATGGTCCCAGCTGGATTCGTCTGCATATCTGGCAACCTGAGTCAGGGAGAGTGGGAGAGGCTGCAGTACCACTTTTGGCCACATTTTTACATACTGCTCCTTTAAGTTTAGTTTAAAGAACAGTTTTGGTAAACCCTCAGCCTCAGGCCTGGACTCGCAGAAGTCTTTTTACCGAGAAAGGTTAGTATTTATACATCAACAAAGGAGGGGTTTAGTTTGAACCATTGTTTGGTTCCTTTGTCTGCGTTTGTGATCTTATCTTTCAATAAAAACCCAGAAGGCTCTCATCTCTCCATCCAACCCTCAAACCCAATCTTTACTCTCAGCTTTTCGCGACTAAAACCTAAACCTTTACCTTTGATTGTGTGCTTTCATCGCGGTAAACTGTTCTTAGAATCAGCAATAGCAAGAACGTAAACCTCCGGCTTCCACTGCGCCCGACTTGCCTTTCTGAGCGCGACATGCTCCGGTCCATTGTGTGTCCGTGACCCGCGACCCGTACTGAGCCCGAGCACAATACAAATGAAAGGATAATAATAAGAGGCAGCGTTCTGGCCGCGCCGTAATCACACATCTCCACATGTTGGACAGGACCAGCTCATTTCCATGTGGACGGCCGGTGGTGGCACTTTGTCGTGTGCCGCTTCCAGGTTCATTATCATGGATGGACTGGATCTGCGGACGGAGCTGCCAGCGTGGACCGAAGGGCAGGTCCAACCATTCGATTTCTTCTTAACTTTTCAGCCAACGCTTTTTGCCACGTGTCTCAAACCTTGCTCACCTTCTCAGTCTTGCGTCAGTTCAGTGAAAAGTTGAGATAGTTTCAGCACCTGATGTGTGTGCATCCGAATAAGACCTGACGGATCCCGTTGGCCGGACTGAGATTGTGTGATCCAATGCAAAACAGTTTTAGCACCAGTGTATGGTGGCAACTGAGCCGCCACACTCACCACCGTATGAGCCAATATTAAAGCATCACCCATAAGCCTTTGTGAAATGAAACACTGAGCCACAGCAGACACTCAACGAAGACATGCATTTGCAAAAGTGATTATTCTATTATGTCAAAATTATCTCATTATTCTTATTTTCAGATTGTTACTTTAATGTTATTATTTAATACTAGCTCCTGTGAAAACGCCCTTTTGGATCAATAAAGTCTGTCTAAGTCTAGAAACACATTTCCCTGAGTTGAAAATATGTCAAAAAGTTGTATTCCTCTGGCCACAATCTCCAACACGTTTTGTTATTGGCAGTAGATTTCGAAGAATTAGCTCGAAAATGAGCAAAACTTATTTGTATGGCACTGAAATAGAGTTTTTGGTAAAGGGCAATTTGTCTTCCATATATTATATTTCTTCGTTTTTTTTGCAAATCAACTTTTCAAACAACAGGTGAAAAGCTTAAAGAAACTGTACGTTTAGTGAGTGGGATCGCCTTTCCGCAGACCAGGCTCATATTTTCAAAGATTTGATCAAAATGTTTATTTTCAGCACAAAATAAGACAAGGAAGGTTTATTTTTACTTCTGTTTGTTTATTAAGCGTCTTTGAGTGTCCTGAAAAGCACTACATAAAACCAGTAGATTATTATGATTATTCTTATTATTATTATAATTTTTAGTATTATTATTATGATTATCATTATTATTATGATTATTATCCATCCATCCATCCATGTTCTACCCTTTAATCCATTTCTGGGTCAGGGGGGTGGCAGTCAGAGATGCACCAGCCCCTCACTGACCCTCTGCAGGTGGTGAGTCCACAGGAGGACGGCTGCTCTCTGAGTGCATAGCCTTGATCTTTCAGTGGGGGCTTTGGGCAAAGTGGGGTTAAGTGTCTTGCCCAAGGACACAACGACAGCAGTCATCAGTGGGAGTCGGTGGAGAAGGTGCAGAGGTGGGAATTGAACCCACGACCTTCAGGCCTGAAGGCCAATGCTCTACCAACTGAGCTACTGTCGCCCCTATTATTATTATTATTATTATTATTATTATTATTATTGTTATTATTATTATTGTTGTTGTTATTATTATTATTATTTTTAATATTATGATTATTATTATTGTTATTATTATTATTATTATTGTTAATATTATTATTATTATCCATCCATCCATCCATTTTCTTCCGCTTTATCCGTTGCCGGGTCGCGGGGGCAGCAGTCTAAGCAGAGACGCCCAGACTTCCCTATCCACACACACTTCCTCCAGCTCGTCCGGGGGGACCCCAAGGCGTTCCCAGGCCAGCTGAGAGACATAGTCCCTCCAGCGTGTCCTGGGTCTTCCCCGGGGCCTCCTCCCGGTGGGACGTGCCCGGAACACCTCCCCAGGGAGGCGTCCAGGAGGCATCCGGAGCAGATGCCCGAGCCACCTCAACTGGTTCCTCTTGACGTGGAGAAGCAGCGGCTCTACTCCGAGCTCCTCCCGTGTGACTGAGCTCCTCACCCTATCTCTAAGGGAGCAGCCACTCTGCGGAGGAAGCTCATTTCGACCGCTTGTATCCGCGATCTTGTTCTTTCGGTCATTACCCAAAGCTCATGACCAGAGGTGAGGGAGGGAACGAAGATTGACCGGTAAATCGAGAGCTTTGCCTTTCGGCTCAACTCCCTCTTTACCACAACGGTCCGATACAGCGTAACAATAATAATATTATTATTATTATTATTATTATTATTATTGTTATTATTATTATTGTTATTATTATTGTTAATATTATTATTATTATTATTATTATGTTTGTTGTTGTTATTATTTTATTATTATTGTTATTATTATCATTATTATTTGTATTATTATTATTATTATTATGTTTGTATAGGCAACTCACAGGGCTCAAGATACAAACATAATATAATAATAAATGATAATCACATTCAAAAGAGTGAAGATAAAATCCTTCAGTTGTTGCAGCAAAACATTTATTTTAACCTGGATTTGAACATTGTCAGAGAAGAAGCCTGTCTCACATTTTCAGGAAGACTTCCAGACTTTAGCTGCTGCCTGTGCTCCTCAGAGTCCCAGCAGGAGTCCAGTCCCTGTGCTCCTCAGAGTCCCAGCAGGAGCCCAGTCCCTGTGCACCTCAGAGTCCCAGCAGGAGGCCAGTCCCTGTGCTCCTCAGAGTCCCAGCAGGAGGCCAGTTCCTGTGCTCCTCAGAGTCCCAGCAGGAGACCAGTCCCTGTGCTCCTCAGAGTCCCTACAGGAGACCAGTCCCTGTGCTCCTCAGAGTCCCAGCAGGAGGCCAGTCCCTGTGTCCCAGTTGGTTCTTTTGGCTCTAACATATTACAAACAAAACAACATGACTTCCCACAGACATGTTTTGGTGAATAGAAAGATTACGTTAAATGCATCAGAAACTGCACTAAACAATCTGCAGTCGGAAAATCCAAGTTCGTTCTATTCAGAAATGTCAGAGCTTTTTAATAAGAAAATATGTGGATTCGCCGTAAAGAGACATGGCTTTGGAGTCAAGTAAAACTCTGCAGCTCGGTCGGTCGTGTGAACTTCAGCTACAGCCGTTTTTTTCTGCCGCTCGACCTCAGCCGGAGAAACTCAGGTCATCGTTAAAGGTCCGTTCACTTCTTCATCTGAAACTAACACATGACTCACAGGGACAGAGAGGTAGAACAAGTCTGCATCTGTTATTATCATGCATCCATTTTAAACTACAAGCTACAGATATTACTGAACTTATTTGAACGATATTCTATTTCTCAGTGTGTGTACGGTGTGTGGAGTTTGCATGTTCTCCCTGTGTCTGTGTGCGTTTCCTCCTGTTTACCCTAACCACTGAAAACATGTAGCCCGTAACACTCTCTCTGGTCCCACTCCTGGGCCCTTTCTCTGGTCCCACTCCTGGGCCCTCTCTCTGGTCCCACTCCTGGACCCTCTCTCTGGTCCCACTCCTGGACCCTCTCTGGTCCCACTCCTGGGCCCTCTCTCTGGTCCCTCTCCTGGACCCTCTCTCTGGTCCCACTCCTGGACCCTCTCTCTGGTCCCACTCCTGGACCCTCTCTCTGGTCCCACTCCTGGGCCCTCTCTCTGGTCCCACTCCTGGACCCTCTCTGGTCCCACTCCTGGGCCCTCTCTCTGGTCCCTCTCCTGGACCCTCTCTCTGGTCCCACTCCTGGACCCTCTCTCTGGTCCCACTCCTGGGCCATCTCTCTGGTCCCACTCCTGGGCCCTCATGGTCCCACTCCTGGACCCTCTCTCTGGTCCCACTCCTGGACCCTCTCTCTGGTCCCAGTCCTGGACCCTCTCTCTGGTCCCACTCCTGGATCCTGAAATCTCTGTGGGACTTTCCTGGATGAATAAAGGTCAGGAAATAAACTTCTGAGCTTCACTTGTATTTTCACAAAGCAACAGAAATAACCTTTAAAACACACATGACACAGAATCATTCATAAAGTCTGAAATGACATGTTTTTATTACGTAAAGTGAAATTCTGCTAATGCCGTTTTAATTTGCCATTTGTCGGAGAAGCCATTTTATGAATTCAATTTGAATGGTTTGTATGGCTCTAATAACAGCAAGTAAGTAAGTAAGTAAGTGCGGCACGGTGGCTGAGTGGATAGCACTCTCGCCTCTCAGCAAGAAGGTCCTGGGTTCGAATCCCGGCCGGACCAGGGCCTTTCTGAGTGGAGTTTGCATATTCTCCCCGTGTCTGCGTAGGTTTCCTCCGGGTACTCCGGTTTCCCCTACCACTAAAAATATGTACAATAGGATTGGCATGCGCCTGCTGTTCGGCGACCCCGCTCCATCTCTGTGTGGAGTGAGAGACAAGTGCCCAAAAATAACAATTGTAAACCGCTTTGTGACTCTGGTCGGTGAAAGGCGGTATATAAATAAACATTACTTACTTACTTAATAACAGCAGTCGCTTTGGAAGACTTTACAAATCTGTCGAATCAAATAAGAAACACACAGAGGCCTTGGTCCATTGAGAGCGGGACAACCACGGTCCAGAAATACATAGATAAGTACTTTATTGCTCCATCAGCAAAAACACCCCCATCTACACAAAATCTAAATACACCAATCTATAAGTATCAGAGGTACAGTTCAGTGGAGCAGGTCACATGTGAATAAAAATAGGTTTTCTGTGGTGAAGGCAGCGGCCACAATGGCAGTTACTGAGGCTTGTCTTTAATCTCTATAATGTCAAATAATTCACCAAACAAACCTCAGCTGAAGACCTGCCACCACAGACTCTTCCTGAGCCACTGAACCAGGTCACAGAGCCACAGAGGCAGAGCTCCATCTCAGCTCCATCTCAGCTCCATCTCAACTCCATCTCTGCTCCATCTCTGCTCCATCTCTGCTCCATCTCTGCTCCATCTCTGCTCCATCTCAGCTCCATCTCTGCTTCATCTCTGCTCCATCTCAGCTCCATCTCTGCTCCATCTCAACTCCATCTCTGCTCCATCTCTGCTCCATCTCTGCTCCATCTCTGCTCCATCTCTGCTCCATCTCTGCTCCATCTCAGCTCCATCTCTGCTTCATCTCTGCTCCATCTCTGCTCCATCTCAGCTCCATCTCTGCTTCATCTCTGCTCCATCTCAGCTCCATCTCTGCTCCATCTCAACTCCATCTCAGCTCCATCTCTGCTCCATCTCAGCTCCATCTCTGCTCCATCTCTGCTCCATCTCTGCTCCATCTCAGCTCCATCTCTGCTTCATCTCAGCTCCATCTCTGCTCCATCTCTGCTCCATCTCTGCTCCATCTCTGCTCCATCTCAACTCCATCTCTGCTCCATCTCTGCTCCATCTCAACTCCATCTCAGCTCCATCTCTGCTCCATCTCTGCTCCATCTCAGCTCCATCTCTGCTCCATCTCAGCTCCATCTCAACTCCATCTCTGCTCCATCTCTGCTCCATCTCAACTCCATCTCTGCTCCATCTCAGCTCCATCTCCATCTCCAGACTCCAGGACTCCCACAGCAGTCAATTTGACGGCTTTTCGTTTTGGAAGTGTGATGTCTCCGCTCACGCACGTTTTTGGTCTTCACAACTGTTACACCATCTATACTTTTCTGTTTCTGAATGTAGTTTATTTCTATGGGTTGATGGAATGAATTGAACTTTTCGACCCACACGTTGTGTAATAATAATAGTAAATGTTGTACAGAATCTCCCTGTATCTAAGTGTGTGGGTGCAGGGCTGTATGGTGTAGAATTATGTACTTTTATGGCTCAAAATAAAGTATTCAAATTCAATCCAAAATGATCTCGGTCCTTGGTTCCTTGGTTCAGAGCGGTCTCAGTTTGGAGCTAGTACTGGTTACCATAGCAACGCGCTGTTTACCGACAGCAGTAAGTTAAAATTCCCCCAAAACAGTTTTAGTTTCCCACTATAGTTTTATTTATTAAATGAAGTGATTTGAACTCACTTTTACCACGTTCTGAAACTGTTGAATAAAACTTCTGTACTTTTTGGGGGAATTTTCTCAGAATTCAATTGATTAAATGGGAGCATTGCAGCTCTGATTGTTCTGGTAGTTTCATAATTTTGAGAGGCCTCTTTTTCTCCCATGACCCTGGAGCACAACAGGACATTCAGTTCAGAACCAAAGAATGGAACGGGCTCCAGACAATACACAGAACATGGCAGGTTTTCACACCGGACTGGCTCTTGCAACGGCGGTCCTGTACTAGCACCAGATGGGGATCAGGTCTGATGATACCCTAACTGGTACCATCAGACAATACCCTAACTGGTACCATCAGACAATACCCTAACTGGTACCATCAGACAATACCCTCGTGGACTATCTGATGGCTGCCAGAAAACCCGACTATACTGTTGGGTATAATGGCTGTTGGACGGTGCTCTCTGACGGCCGTTGTTCTTTATGTGTTTGAAAATGATATTGCACTTTATATGTTGCTGCTAAATACTGTCCCGTAACTTTGTATTGCACCTTATGACAGTCATTTGCACATGAACTATTTGCTGCTAAAATGATACCGTATCTGGCACATTGTGACTGTAACTACATTGGTAACTTGCACTTTTTATAAAACTGTGTTGATAAGTGTTTTATGATTGCACAGATGGAGAGTAGCTGGTGCTAAATCTGGTTCAGCATCTTTTTAATACAACCGCGCTTTAAACTCAACTTTAAACTTGAATTTGCAGGTGTCAAAATGGATTCAGAGCTTTTAAACAAACACTGGTGGATTCATAATGGGTGTCAAGTACAAATCCGTCTGATGACAAACCGTTCAGATGCTGTCGTGCTAACAGGATATCCCATGGTGTGACCCGTGAGATGTGGCCTCGATATGGGAAGTACTTCACCCAGCAGCGAGGCCCCTGACAGCCCCTGACAGCCCCGCGATAACCAAACAGAGAAGACACGTAGAGACGATTGTGCTTAGGTGACACTCTCTCCCTCTCTCACATATTCGCTTATGTGTGCACTTACATGTAGCTACTATCATGCACCATCACAAACCGCAAACACTTCGAAACAACTATTTTTCTGTCCCCGCCTCTTCTCGAACGCTCAAATCCGATAAGAAAAGTTTGTATTATTTCTTAGAATCGCGTCCACCGCAGGCGCCTAATTTCCAAGTCCTCATCCGCCCAGAGCAAAGCAACACATTATGTCAGATTCAGAGTAAGATTTTGTTTGTTTGACGCTGTAAAGCAGTAAAACCACATTGGAAAAACTGTGCAAGACTCGCCCAAGGCTCCCACTCAGCGCCGTAAGTGTCGGCGGTGGTAAGTCAGGGGGAAATCTACTTTGGCAAACCTGAAGAAAAGATTAAATGAAGAAATCCTTATTTATTGGTCCGACAGTGGGGAAATTTCAGTGTTGCATCACCAGTTACAGTAGGAATGAGGAGCACAAAGCAAAAGATACAGGAACAATAACTCTATATTAAAATAAAGCAAGAATTAAGTATAAAATCTTTAAATTTAAGATACATACAAGACAGTGGTAAGAACACACAAGGAGCACATATAAGTATCTGCTATATTTCTTAGCTAGCTGTAAATGTAAATATTTCCTCCGGGTGCTACGGTTTGCCCTACCAGCGTGAAATGCCCACAACAATCACTAACTGAAGACTAAAGGAGGGTCAAAGGCAATGGTGATCCAGGACACTCAAAACCCTAATGGACCAATGGCTGTTTGTGTTTTTATCATGTCTTGTGTTCAAACGGTTTGATTTTCTGATCTGTGTTGGAGAATCAACAACTTTGGAAAGAGAGCTTCACTCATGTGCAAAGTATTCAAGAGGCCGTCCCCAAGAGGCAGAACCGAGCCCCCCCAAACTGTCAACATGTCGGACAATCCAAGGTCCTGTAGCTCAGTATCTAGTTCCACAGCGGAAGGACAAGTTTAAATGTATAGCACACTTCATACACAAGGCAACAAGATGGATACAGTCTGACAAGGGATTAAAATCATAAACAAATAATCACAGTATGTTAATAAAAGTAAAGATACAGTCCTTCAGTTGTAGCAGCGAAACATATCTGGATTTGAAAAATGTCAGAGAAGAAGCCTGTCTCATGATTTCAGGAAGACTGTTCCAGATTTTAGCAGCATGAATCTGAAATGCTGCCTCCTCCTGTTTAGCCCTGACTCTGGGACCAGCAGGAGACCAGTCCCTGTGCTCCTCAGAGTCCCAGCAAGAAGCCAGTCCCTGTGCTCCTCAGAGTCCCAGCAAGAAGCCAGTCCCTGTGCTCTTCAGAGTCCCAGCAGGAGACAAGCCCCTGTGTGTTCCCTCAGAGTCCCAGCAGCAGGAGACCAGTCCCTGTGCTCCCTCAGAGTCCCTACAGGAGACCAGTCCCTGTGTGTTCCCTCAGAGTCCCAGCAAGAAGCCAGTCCCTGTGCTCCTCAGAGTCCCAGCAGGAGGCCAATCCCTGTGCTCCCTCAGACTCCCAGCAGCAGGAGACCAGTCCCTGTGCTCCCTCAGAGTCCCGGCAGGAGACCAGTCCCTGTGCTACTTCAGAGTCCCAGCAGTGGGAGACCAGTCCCTGTGCTTGCTCAGACTCCCAGGAGGAGACCAGTCCCTGTGCTCCTCAGAGTCCCAGCAGGAGGCAAGTCCCTGTGCTCCCTCAGAGTCCATACACGGATCTGGGATGTACTACAGCTCTCCCTCTTTCACTTTCATGAAGAGCGAATAACGAACCCAGTGAAGCCGCTCTTTTCATCCAGAACACAAGACAGTGCGGCCTCTGCGGGGGCACCGGTTTGAAGGTGGGCTTTTACTGAGGGGGGGTTGAGGATTGAGGATCAGGGAGGATGAGGGGGGTGAGGGGAGCTGCACTGGCCCACACAAAGGCATCCCTGAAATAGCCCCCGTGCACAATGAGACCTGCCACTCTGTCTATGAGATAATGTCTAATTGAAAACACTGCAGCCATTGTGCTCCTGTCACCGGCTCCATTGTCCAGATAGCCCTCTCTCCCCCACCTCTCTTTTTCCATTGACGCGGCGCGATTGTTCCTCTCCATTGTGGCAACCCTACTCTCCCTCTCCTGCTCTGTCTCTCTATCAGCCCCTCTCTCTCTGTATTGTTATAATTTCATTACTTATTTGTTTTTTGTTCCGCTTCTCCTTTCACTCCCCTGTAGACCTTTTGTGCACCATATTTAGGCACTTCATAGAGAGATCTGCTGCCCCTGTGCATGTGTGTGTGCGTTTGTGTGCGTGTGTGCGTCTGTGTGCGTGTGTGTGTGTGTGTGTGTGTGGGTCCAAGTCCCTCGGTGCAAGCAGGTGTCAGTTTCACAAGGAGATCAAAACAGGAAGACAGAATAAAGACTTTACCTGAATTGGGAAGAGGGGTGTAATCCAGCTCTAAGCATGTGGAGGTGGACGATAGTGTAGCGGGAGGACTATACATACAATTGTCAATTTGCCAACACAGATTAGAGAATCAAACAGAACTAACACAGGAAATGTATTGATAAAAAAACACGTAGAGGCTTTGGTCCATAAGGGGCAGAGGGACCAATGTCCATGAATGCATATAATGTCCAGAAATGTCGTTAAATGTTTTTTTATATAGTGCCTTTCATAGACCAGGATCATAAAGCGTTTTACAATTTAAAACATACAAAGAAAAATAGTACACAAACAAGTCAGAGTCAAAAACTACAATACAGATAAATCATGAACACTGTTGACATAGGTCTAAGTAGGTGAGGTGACTTTATAAAAGGGCATTAAAGGGACTTATAAAGGGCAGTAAAGCGATTTATAAAGGGCAGTAAAGCGATTTATAAAGGGCAGTAAAGTGACTTTATAAAGGGCAGTAAAGTGACTTTATAAAGGGCAGTAAAGTGACGTATGATGGGCAGTAAAGTGACTTTATAAAGGGCGGGGGGACAGGTTAAGAAGTGTTCAAGAGTCCAACAGCAGAGGGGAAGAAACTGTTCTTGTGGCGGGAGGTTCTAGTCCTGATGGACCTTAGCTTCCAGCCCGAGGGGAGTGGTTGGAATAGTCCATGTGCAGGTGAGAGGGGAGTGGTTGGAATAGTCCATGTGCAGGTGAGAGGGGAGTGGATGGAATAGTCCATGTGCAGGTGAGAGGGGAGTGGTTGGAACAGTCCATGTGCAGGTGAGAGGGGAGTGGTTGGAATAGTCCATGTGCAGGTGAGAGGGGAGTGGATGGAATAGTCCATGTGCGGGTGAGAGGGGTCGGCTGTGATACGACCAGCCCGGCCTCGAGCTCGGGCGACGTACAGGTCCTGCAGCGATGGAAGGCTGCGGCCGATCACTTCCTCTGCAGAGCGCACAATGCACTGTAGTCTCTGTTTGTCCCTGCCTGTGGCTCCAGCGAACCACACGGTGACGGAGGAGGTGATGGAGGAGGTGATGGAGGACGACAAAGGTGGAGTTGTTGGAGCAGTCTTTTTAGACTTATGCAAGGCTTTTGATTTAGTTAATCATAACATACTAATCTACATCTAAATTGTCAGTTTTTGGTTTCTCTGGCAAAACTCTAAAATGGATGCGGTCATACCTATCAGATAGGACACAGTGTGTTAGGGTAAAAGATGGCTGCTCAGGTTACCTGAAATCTACCATGGGAGTACCCCAAGGGTCTGTACTTGGCCCCTTACTTTTCAGCCTTTATATAAATGACCTGCCACATCACTGCCTGGGTTTACAAATTCAACTATACGCAGATGATAACGTAATATATACCTATGCCAGCACCAGTCACCTAGCGGCCAAAAAACTCTCCAGAGCCCTTGAGGCTGTGGCTCAATGGCTCGATCAATCCTGTCTTTGCCTTAAAATTAGTAAAACAAAGGCCATGTTTTTTCGAAAAACCAAAGCACAAAATACAAACTCTGACATTTACATTAGGAACCAGAAGATTGAAAATTTTGCTGAATACAGGTATCTTGGGGTTACTCTAGACGCTAACTTGAATTTCAACAAACACGTTAAAAACATGACAAGAACTCTCAAATTCAACCTTGCCAATTTCAGACATATTAGACCCTGTCTCTCCCTTGAGGCAGCTAGAACATTTATGCATGCGCTTATTTTCTCGCATTTATCGTACTGTATCACATGTTGGGGGCAGGCTGATGAATCAGTAGTGAGACCTCTTGAGTCAGTGTATAAACAGGCACTAAAAATCTTAGACAAAAAGCCTCTGAGGCACCATCACTGTAATATCTTAGTAAAATATAATTTTTTGAGTCTTGAAAACTTCAGACGCTTTTCTAACCTGTGTCTCATTTTCAAAGTTAAAAATCATTCGTGAACTATAGGGCAATACACTCAATTAGATCCACGAGAATAGCCTCGGTGCGCGATTGTATGATCCCCTTCCGTCGCTCTGCGTTTGGTCTCTCCGCCTTCTCTGTGAAGGCCTCTACGCAGTGGAAGCTCTGAGGCCGCGGTCACATGAACAGCCTAAAGCCCGTTTAAAGTGTGTCTGGGCCCACTTTGCGATTAGATCCGGGCTTTAGGTGCATGTGACCGCGGCAACTGGGCTTGGGCACGGTTGGGAGAGGTGGGTCCGTTAATATATACAGTCTATGGTAAAAACCTATGTGACCGTGCCCTTACAATAGTCCGGTCACTGTCCTTACATCCTCTTATACACACACACTCACACACTCCCACACACACACATAAACACATAAACACACACACACACTCACACACACACACTCACACACACACACACACACACACACACACGCACACACACACTCACACACACACACACACAAACACACACACACACACACTCACACACACACATAAACACACACACACACACACACTCACACACACACACACACATAAACACACACACACACACACTCTCACACACACACACACACACACATAAACACACACACACACACACACACACACACACACACACACACATAAACACACACACACACACACTCTCACACACACACACACACACACATACATGCCGGTCATCCTCAGACTGCCAAGGCCGAGCGAGTGAAGAGGAGTTTGTGAGGCTTGTGTCAAACCTGTTGCTCTGTGCTTTGTCACACGATGATGGCTTTCAACATCTGCACTCTCAGTTCATTTAAGGCGGTATTATGTGGTGAGGAAAGCAATACACACACACACGCACTCGCACACACACAACACACACACACACAAACACACACAACAACCCCCCATTATAGACATCAAATCATAATCGTAATTCCATTTCCACTGTTCTGTTCTTTGCCTTGGAACACTGAGAGGCATAAACATAAACATTATCTTTGATATAATTTCAACATGTGCAGTAGCAAGAGAGAACGTTTATTATTTTTTATCTAAGGAAAATCCCATTGAGATTTATGAAGTGAATATAAAATAATACATATTATGTATATCATCCGTTGCCGGGTCGCGGGGGCAGCAGTCTAAGCAGAGACGCCCAGACTTCCCTATCCACACACACTTCCTCCAGCTCGTCCGGGGGGACCCCAAGGCGTTCCCAGGCCAGCTGAGAGACATAGTCCCTCCAGCGTGTCCTGGGTCTTCCCCGGGGCCTCCTCCCGGTGGGACGTGCCCGGAACACCTCCCCAGGGAGGCGTCCAGGAGGCATCCGGAACAGATGCCCGAGCCACCTCAACTGGTACCTCTCGACGTGGAGAATCAGCGGCTCTACTCCGAGCTCCTCCCGTGTGACTGAGCTCCTCACCCTATCTCTAAGGGAGCGCCCAGCCACTCTGCGGAGGAAGCTCATTTCGACCGCTTGTATCCACGATCTCGTTCTTTCGGTCATTACCCAAAGCTCATGACCATAGGTGAGGGAGGGAACGAAGATTGACCGGTAAATCGAGAGCTTTGCCTTTCGGCTCAGCTCCCTCTTTACCACAACGGTCCGATACAGCTCTGACTGCAGACGCTGCTCCCTCTTCACCACAACGGTCCGATACAGCTCTGACTGCAGACGCTGCTCCCTCTTTACCACAACGGTCCGATACAGCTCTGACTGCAGACGCTGCTCCCTCTTTACCACAACGGTCCGATACAGCTCTGACTGCAGACGCTGCTCCCTCTTTATCACTGCACGCTGCACCGATCCGCCTGTCAATCTCACGCTGTCACAACAGCCAGATGCTGCGTGTGTGGACAGGGTCGCCGAAATCTCCGCCTTTGACCGCTGCCCAGTCCTCTCTGCACCAATGCCCCATGGATCCCTCTGCGGGTGGCGGACCCACAGGAGGGCCTGCCCACGTCGCCATGACGGGCGACGTCACGGGTTTCCTTTTTGTGCGATCTATGGTGGCTTCGGACTGCGCTTCGTCTGGCTCGTCACCCAAGACCTGTTTGCCATGGGAGACCCCACCAGGGGCATGAGGGCCCGGACAACGTAGCTCCCATCATCCGAGTATTTATTCATTGATTTATTCATTTATTTGACAGGGACATTGCAAGTCCACATAGAACAATACAAGCATGTAACTGCTACAATGCAAAAAGAGTTTATAGCTATTGCTAATTTTCAACTCCAGTCCCTGGTTTCTGCACTACATTAACATTTTCAATATTATCTCAAAAACGTACCTATATTCCCTGTTTAAATCATTTACACATTCTCAGTGCTGTTTACACATTTACAAATGGGAACAATTCTGACTGACAGTTGTGCTGCTTGTCCTCCTTGAGTCTTCCCTAACCATCTGCTAGAGAGGTATGTAAGGGATAACGTACACTACGCAAGGTCATTATCGGAAAATAAGTACCGACAGGGCAAAGCGGACCCATCGGAGTCTGCTTCGCCCTGTCGGTACTTATTTTCCGATAATGACCTGTGTAATATACATTTTCCCGCTTACAGCTTTATACCAACAGAACACACAACATAAACTTCAGTCCACTTTTAGGAATGCCGAAAGGTTTATTTAATGACAGAAAATAAAATAGTTCCCAAAGGCTTTCCCGTGGCTATGCTAGCAACAGTTAGGCTAGCAACTTCCAAACTAGAACTCTCTGGAACTGCATGAAAACTGAACAAAGCATTCTGAACATCAGCGGTGAGTGACCCAAACATAAACTTAACCTAAATCCATAACTCCATCCTCTGCAAATGTTCCTAAAATGTGCCTGTATCTTAAAATGTGCCGTATCTACTTCCGAGTTTTTCGGGATCGCCTTTTCTCGCATGACATCAGTGTTTTTGTTATGAAAACGTAAACGGAAAATTCTGAAAACTTCCGTGCACTTGTATTAAGACTGGATATGTATAAATTACTCTCCCATTAACATTTCATTGCGTTGATTGATTGGCATTTGCGTTGATTGAGCGTGGCTAGCTCCGGAGTGGCCGGAACTACTTGTGGAGTTATCCACGCATCTGAAATACAAGCACAGAGTGCGTTGCCAAAGGGCAGCGGTCATTATTGTTTTGAGAGGTCCGTTATAGAAAATAATGACCGGTAGAACGTTTTGAAATTACATTCAAATCAATGGTTCTACTGCTGCTGTGAGGAGCTGTATGATACATACTTATATTTACTTTGGATTTTTTATAACACTTATAGCAGCTGTGGTTAAAGCTGAATTCATCATTATAACATGTTGGAGCAGTACTTTTTCACAAAATGTTTTTGTTATCTGAAGGTCGAAGCTCCTGGCACCATGGCAGATGCTGATTGGACAGTCTATTCTATAATATCACATGCATTCTGTGAAACTAAATGTTCTGCCTCCAACTGTCTCTACCATCGGCAAAAAACTTGTCTTGTCTGTCTGACACATTCTCTGACTTTTCATTCATTTTCTTCAATACTTATAATTATAATTCGCGGGACTGTTTTAGGCCTGGCCTTGAAAGTAGAGACTGTGTCTGTTTCTTTAACGTGGATGAGGAGCTGATTCCACAGTGATGGAGCTAAATGCTTTGCCTCCGACTGCACTTTTGGACTCTTTAGGAACCACCAGAGGAGAGTTTGGTTGATGTGTTACTAACGTGTCTCAGAGGTTTATGGTCTTGTCTATTCATTTTAGTCTATTTAAATTGGATTCTATGTTCCACAGGAAGCCAGTGAATGGACATTTATGGACATTTGTCTCTGCCCTTTATGGACGAAAGACTCAATGAGTTTTTTGTCAATTCATTTCTTGCATTTGAAAAATAAAATGATAAAATCCTGTAACTATAGTAATATCTGATCAGTCCAGTTTCATTCAGACTCAGGCTCAGAGACTTCCACAGGTCTCTGGCCTCGCCGCCAAACCAGCTCACTATGAGAAATGCCTCCACATTTCCTCGTTCTCATAAACACCATTTGAAACAAAAAGCTCTTATCGGACCTGCGTATTATTCACTGTGTTAATTGGAGGAAAAATAAAAGCATTGTGCATCTTGACCGCTCTGTTAAAACAAGATAAGAGGCATGTGAGCAGATCTGAGCCCAGGGCCGGACCACCGTTTGTTTAGTAGAAAAGTGTGAACACGCTGTGGAGGGGGGGGCACTGATGTAACTCACCCGCCTCCCCCTCAGACTCTGTGGAGGGGGTGAGGCCGGCACAGCGGAGGTACCTCACCCGCCCCCACCTCAGACTCTGTGGAGGGGGTGAGGCCGGCACAGCGGAGGTACCTCACCCGCCCCCACCTCAGACTCTGTGGAGGGGGTGAGGCCGGCACAGCGGAGGTACCTCACCCGCCCCCACCTCAGACTCTGTGGAGGGGGTGAGGCCGGCACAGCGGAGGTACCTCACCCGCCCCCACCTCAGACTCTGTGGAGGGGGTGAGGCCGGCACAGCGGAGGTACCTCACCCGCCTCCCCCTCAGACTCTGTGGAGGGGGTGAGGCCGGCACAGCGGAGGTACCTCACCCGCCCCCACCTCAGACTCTGTGGGGGGCATCGTCACATAAACAAACTCTGCTGCGATAACAGAAGTGATGCTGACTTTAAACTCCTGCAGTTTTAAAGTTAAAGAGTATCTCTGTAAAGAGACTTCATGGAAATAGGAACCAAGCGTTTCAACATCAAAATTGTGAAAAAACGCATCATCATGCGTCAGCCGGCGCAAGCTCCATTCATTTAAACGAGTGACTTCAAAGATTCACCGCAAGTAAACTGGTCCAGAACACCCCCTCAGCATTGACACACATGTGGACGGAGCTTTGGACCAAGAGCCAACTTTTGGTCCATCCTGTAAAGACGTTTTCGAGAGGTCTGCCAATGCTATATGTTAGCATTGGCTAATTCTTCTTCCAGGTCCACCCCCACAGGCCCGGGGTGGTATTGCAGCATGTCAGCGCACGTCATTTTGGCCACTTTTGAGCCGGGACCCGCCCACACTGACCAGAAGCCGCAGACCTGCACACGGCCAGTGGACATACACCCAGATAACGATACGTGCAGATGTGCACGGTCGACGCTTACGCGCTGTCAACGCCTCAGAGTCATCAGAGCAGAGTTTATGGACTTATTGTTTTGACTCTATCCAGTTTTAGTCGCTATAGTTGCTTTTTGACTTTCGACCCAAACCAGCTCTTAGATTTTTAATTCGGCCCTCAACCAAATTTGGTTTGACTCCCTGCTTTATTTCATCAGTAAAACACAGTGAGATTATTTTAGGTTGTTTTATTTACTGGATGTACTGGTGGCGTTTATTCCAAAGTGCTTTTACCTCACTGTTCTTGGATGAACCTCACTGGACTAGATCCCTCTTTATTCACAGTAAGAAGGTCCTGGGTTCGAATCCCGGTCGGAATGGGGCCTTTCTGTGTGGAGTTTGCATGTTCTCCCTGTGCCCATATGTGTCTGCGCACGTACAATAATAATACAAGTTATTAGTTCAATTCAATTTATGTTTGTATTGCCCTAAATCACAACAGCAGTTACCGCGGAGGACTTAACAAAGCTGTCGATTCACCAACACAGATCAGAGAAGCAGGTACGTCTGGTCTTACCATGTGTAAACTCTGATCCATGGTCATTTCCTACATGTACGTCTGGTCTTACCATGTGTAAACTCTGGTCCATGGTCATCTCCTACATGTACGTCTGGGTCTGATCCTAGTGGCTGCAGTTTCCTCGGTTGAATCTCCTCCGACCAATCAGAGAGCGGGGGAGGCGGGTGTTGTAGGTCTGTGTCGGTGACGTCAAGAGTTTGTGCTGAATTTGCTGGTTGTAGTTTGTCGGAGAATGCGATATATATATATATATATATATATAAATAATCTGTTCTGGTTCAATCCAAATATCAAGAAACTGAAGCCGGAGCAAGAGGAAGTAACTGTCATTGAAGCAAAGATGTTGTGGCTCTACTCCCCACGGGCTCCGTTAGTGGCTAAGGAGATGGCTAAAGCTAGGCTACATGCTAAAGCTAGGCTACATGCTAAAGCTAGGCTACATGCCTCACTCACTCGAGCGCATTATAAACGTCACGGTAAACTCAGATCCAATGGTTTCAATCTGCAAGAGGAGTTTACCCCTCCCACCTGTTCACGGAGTCAATGGAGCAAATCCAGAGCTTAGTACCATGGTGTGGTAAGACCAGGCTAGTTCATAGATCAATGTCCATAAATGTCCTTAAATCTGACAATAGCTCAGTTGTAGAGCATTGGCCTTTGAGCCAGAAGGTTATGGGTTTGAGCCCACCTCAAGACTTTCACCATCGACTGATGTCTGATGCCGTTGTGTCCTTAGGCAAGACACTTCACCCCCATTGCATAGAATGAGTCTGGTGTGTGTGTGAATGGTTGGTGGTGGTGGGAGGGGCCGATGGCACAGACTGGTTGCCTCACTTCTGTCAGTGTGCCCCAGGGCAGCTGTGGCTACAGTAGTTGTTTATTACCACCGTGCATGGTGTCTTTGACTGTCCAAAAAAGCGCTATATAAAAAAACGCTGCATTATTAAATTCATCACTAACACTTAAACCACCGTCTTTAATGTCCTGGAATGGAACACAGACATAAGTTGGACGTCCTGGAGAATCAAGAATGAACTAAACTCTGAATTAAAGCACAGAATAGATATTTGTTGGAGCGAGGCCCTGTTCAAACACGATTACACATGTTTCTATAATTGGACAGTTACTGCGCAGGTAATTGGATAAAATCACAGATCACTCCGCCCTGTACAAAAACAGGCTTTGTCCAAAACTCAATGGAAGAAATATACTTGTCACCGGGGTTTGTGTGAGGTTGGTCTGTGCTATATATGTAAAGATGACTCACTTGCTTACATATCTGCTCATGGGACAAAACAGAAGAAATGACACTGTGTACAGCTTTTTTAACAGTGTACTTTTACTCTCTCTTAAGAAAATACTGTCAAATTGTAACTTCCAAATCTCTAAAACACAATTTTACAGAACAGAAAAGCACATACAGTTTGAAAAGGGGTCGGACGAAGCGAAAGTGTTGAAACTTCCAAACCTCCCTCACCCATTCCAGACAGAGACAAGAAGATTTTGGACAAAAAACCACAAAAGACTTAAAACAATATAAAAGTAATACAGTGGAACAGCAACACAATACAATATCAACACACACACGTACACACACATACACACACAAACACAAACACACATACACGTTTTTGTTACCTGGTGGGTCCCTTTGACAGGGCCGTTCAGAATGGGACCCATAGACATAATCTTTTTTTACTGGGACTACTTTAAGTAATACAAAACAGTCAATAGAAACCAAACAACTCTTTTAAAGGAATTTTATTTTAGATTTTTTTTTTCGAATTGCAGTGATTCTATTTTTGACATAGAATTTAATGCCACTCCATGTCCGATGTCTAAGGTCATCTGGTGAGGCATTAATGCAGGCCAGGCCAGGCCAGGCCAGGCAGTGAGACTTCCCAGGGACCTTTCCAGTCTGTATGAAAGGTGTCATGGTCTTCTCCACAGCCTTCACCTCAGATGCAGACCATGGCTTTCTTACACGTTCTAGGGAGAGAAATAAAAATATATTAGCAATATACACTCCCAGGGTTAGGACCAAGCAGCCTGGCTGTAATCCCCCACCTGGTACACTTACCAGAAGGGGCACTGCCACTACCATGGGGTGCATCTGGATGAATGGTTGAAGGTTCTCCGCTTGAAGTTTCTTTTAGCCCGTCCGTTTGTGAGAGGATCTCTACTGCTCTCCCTGTCGCACAGAAAATAAAAATACAAGTGGCCTTTAGGGGAAAAAAATCATACATATTTTAATAATATCAAGAATTACCTTCAGGCTCAATTTGTATCTGGTCGAGGCTCTTTCCTTCGAATTCCGTCACTCTTCCCTGCTCCATGGCCATCAACACTTTGCTGATTTTGGCCAGCTCCAGTGTCCCCTCTGGTAGTCTGTAATATTGTCTGTGGATGCGAATGTCATGGCCGAGGAAGTTGGCTAGTATGTCCATTTCATTCTCTTTCATATTGACAACTGTAGACATAGTAGCTATGTGCTTTCTAAGTTTGGTTGAGGATAGCATCTCTGGATGCACCGCACCACATTCTTTGGCTACCTGGCGTAGGGAGTCTGATCCCCTGATGTGGGTGTCTGCGCCCGGGCGGGAAAAGAAGTATGGGTTATGGTCAGAGATGGAACAGGCCCTTCTGTTCTCCACCAGCACCTCCATCCAAGCAATCATTTCAGGAGTCAAAAGAACCGGCACTTTCCGACTTCTTTTCCCTTTAATTTCAATGCGTTGAAAATGCTGACACAGATTTTTCTCAAGTTGGGACAGTCCCAGAGCAATGTCAGAATGGATCCCAGTCTTACTTCTTAAGGTAAAGGCTGTCAGTGGCATCTTTGAAACCTCACCTTCCCTTCTTCGATTGAAAATAATGACCTCACAAAGAGTCAAAACTGCCAGTTTAGACCAATGCTTAGACGTTGGCTCACTTATTAGGGTTTGCACATATTCAGGTCGACATACCTCAATATGTGCATGCATGGCTCTAACGTCCTCAGTCAGAGGGAGCAGGTCCGGAGTGTTCCACTTGGCTTGCCGGAGGGTCTGTAGGGCAGCAGAAGAAACACAGACGTCCCACCTCTTCTCAAAAAGCAGCCGGCTTCGTTGGAGGTTTTTAATAAATAGTTCATCAACACAATGCTCCATTTTTGAGTCACATTCAAGAATATCTGCTAGCTTTCTGAGGCTATGGCCGAGTTTGAGGGCCAAGGATGGAGTCTTGTATTGATTTGTTTCCTCATCATATCCAGCCACAGACCTGACTGCATCAATCACATGGTTAAAGTTGGAAGGAATAAAGAAATCCTTCATTGTTTTCAGTTTCCCTGCAGTTTTTGCTTCGTTAATTAACCTACCGACTTCTCTCATTTTCTGCCTAATGTAATCATGCTTAGTCTTATCATGCCCGTGTTTTAAGTACAGGTGCTCTCCGAGTCTCAGAATCCCCTTTTCTGCTTTGACAACACCCGTGACCTCATCCTGATGCATTGCCGAAATTAAAGACCACAGCTTTTTGCTGATGCCCTCCGGTACAGGCTGGGCTAGGGAGCAGAGGGACTGGACCCTACTTCTACCTGGTTTAGCCTGGTTTAGCCTGGGCATCTTTCTGTGAAAGCCGGCACCTGGCCACATGCCTCCACAGCGACTTTCGCTTAAGCAATGCCCCACAGTCTATACAGTGCAAAAACTCACTGGATTTAACTGGGCAATTTGGCTGTTTAGCTGGGACTAAAGTTCCAATGCCGGCCTTTAAAACCTCAAAATTGTGCTCACGGTTTCCACTATTCCTGATCAAATCAAACTGAAGTTTACGTGCTTTAGATTTCACAGGTAGAGCCAATGCTCTGGCTACGTCACTTTCATTTCCATGTTTTCTAGTCAAATGACGGGACATTTTGTGGCAGGACATTGAACAGTAGAGGCAGAAGTGTCTCTTGCTGTAAACTCGCCCCCCATTTTTCTTCTTTTG